AGAAGAAGAATGAAGATCTCAGATTATATATAGACTACTGTAATCTGAACTTTAAGATAATAAAAAACTGCTATTCTCTATCTCTGATTGAGAATGTGATTAACTGTCTTATGAGAGCTATCATATTCATATAACTGAATATGATTAATATATATACACAGCTGTGAATATAATCTGAAGATGAATGAAAGACTGTCTTTAGAACTACACTGAAATTATTTGAATATCTAGTGATGTCTTTTGATCTGACTAATATCTCTGCAGTATTTCAGTCTTTTATCAATAAAACACTTCATGTATATCTGAATGTCTTTATAGTAATATATCTAAATAATGTGATGATGTACTTTATGAAGAAGAAAGAACACACTGAGCATGTGTGAAGTATATTGAAGATCTTAGATGAGACAGAACTGTATATTAAGCTCACAAAGTACAACTTCAGTGCTTATCAGATTAATTTTCTAGAATATGTAATCACTGTAGATAATATTTAGATGAAATCTTCATAAGTTAAGACTATTCTATTATGACTGAAGTTAACTAGTATTCATGAGATTCAGATCTTTCTAAGCTTTGTGAATTTCTATAGACAGTTTATCTTTGTATTTATAAGAATCTTCTTAGTTCTTACAGACATGCTGAAGAATGAAAATAAGAAGAAGTTATTCTGTAAACAGAGAATGAAAAGATTGTTAAGAAGAGAGAACTATGAGAACTTTCTTATCTTAGAAGCTTACAGAGTCTTTATAAGATTGAAACAGATATTTACAGATATAGTGATGCTGTTTCACTTTGATCTCTTACTCTTAATCAGATTGAAGACAGATATCTTCTTCTTTATAATTTCAGAAATAGTCTTATAACTACAGTCAAATGAGAACTGAGTTTCAGTGATCTTTTTCTTATGAAAGATGCAACCTGCAGAGATTAACTATGACATTTATAATCAGAAGTTTCTCATAATAGTGAAATTCTTTCATCACTGATATTACTACTTTGAGAGTCTTGTAATAGTAATTACTGTTAGAACTGATTATAACAGCTTATAACAGTTTACTTCAATCAAGAAACTCTTGCAGCAGTAGATTCACTGAGCTCAGAGACTGAGTGAGTTCTGATTCAAGATAGAATATATTAAGAAAACTAAGAACTTAGTGAACAGATTCTCTTACAGATCAGACTATATTAAGAAGACTAGAATAACAGACACAGAGAGATTAGAGAAGACAGAAAAGCTTCACAGAATGCTTAGACTGAGTGTTATAAAGAGATTGACTGAAGAGTCTCTCAATTCTCTGTAAGAGAAGAGAGAAAAGAGAGAGAAGAAGCCTGTACAACTACTCTCTATAATACTGAGAGTTAACACTCTGAGAATCTCTGCAAGAATTCTTGAAGAGAGTATCTATAATCTGAAGAGTTTGTGAGCTTTGAGAAGTGCTGCAGAAGATCTGATATAAGAAGAAATAGAGTATAAGTCTTTATAAGATCTTCTATTCAGATTGTCTGAACTGTAACTGAAGAATGAATATACTCAGTATATTCAGAAACTGCTTACAGCAGGAATCAATTCTACAGAAATAAAGAATTAAAGAGACTTAAATAGTCTCTTATAAAAAGAGAACTGAATTTATATACCTGTGAATAAGTTTCTATATATAGAACTTATTAAAAGATATTATAACTCTTCTCTAGCAGATCATTTTACAGATACTAAAACTCATAAGTTACTTATAAGAAAATACTTCTGATCAAAGATACAAGAACTTGTGAAGAAGATAGTAAATTCTTATACTATTTATCAGAATTTATAAGTAGTGCAGTTCAGATTATATAAAAAACTTACTTCTCTACTCATTCTATAGAAATCTTGAGAACAGTTAGAAATGAATATTCTTATAAGCCTCTCTGAAAGTAAGAATATATATAATGCCTGCTTTGACAGTGTGCTGATAATAGTGAATCACTTCATTAAGATGACACACTTTATACTCACTTATAAGAACTTGAAGTTAAAGAATTTAACTCATATCTTCATCTGTGATGTGATCTGATTATATGAATTATCTGTGAATATTGTCTTAGATAGAGAATTAATCTTCATAGAAGAGTTCTAGTCTGATCTGATGACTATACTGAAGATCTTATAAGATCTAAGCACAGCTTTTTATCAATAGACAGATGATCAGACAGAATATCTGATAAGTATATTAAAACAGTATCTGCAGTGCTTTGTCAATTACAATCAGAATGACTGAGTGCATTAATTATTACTTACAGAGTTTATATACAATAACTCAAAGTATGTCAGTATAGATAAAACTCTCTTTGAGATACTTACTGAGACTTATTCACAGATGATCTTGATGAATCTGTAAGAGTATACTATAAAGTGTGATAATGTCTGTGAACAGGCTGAGAGAATTCAGAAGATTCAGAAGAAAGTCTGTAAATTCTTGAGAAAGACTTAAGAGTATTAGAAGAGATACTATAACTTCAAGTATATTATGAAGAGTTTTAAAGAAGATAATAGAGTCTGACTAAGTCTAGAAAATATTATTATACAGAGATCTAGTAAGAAACTGAATCTCTTATAGATAGAGTTTTATAAGATTATGAAAAAAGTTAGTTTATAGTTCTACAGATTAAAACTGTCATCTGAGTTATAGATATATAATATTTTTCATATCTCTTTACTCTGTAAATATAAGGAATTTTTAGAAGAGAATTCTGTGACTTATCACTCTGTTTATAAAGTACTAGAGAGTGAAAGAGAATATCAGATCAAAGAGATTATTAACTCAGAGAAGTGAGATCATGAGCTCTGATTTAAAATTCAGTGATAAGAGTATTCTGATAAGATAAATAAGTTTACTTAAGAATTATCTGAACAGATAAGATATCTGCAGAAGCTGAGATATGACTTTCATACTGTAAATTCTGATAAGTCAGAATAATACAGTCTTTACTAAGAATCTGATTATAATAAAGATATTAATACTATTATTTATAAACTCTAGTCTATAAGATAATGAGTTTCTACTGAGATGAACAGTCTACAGTGTATATAAGAAAAGAAGAAAATATATTCTTATTAAAGCTAAAAAATAAGAAAATAAACAGAACTGTGAATATAATTTAGAGATTAATAAAGAAAAAATAAAGAAAACTCACACTTATATTATTAATACTTATAACACTTAATTCTTTCATAACTATCAATTTCTCTCTTTAAAGAAGCAGAGAGTATCATATCTATGATACAGATAATTATTACATTTGATACAAAGACTGTTAGAAATGCACAGACTTCAGAGAAGCTAAATATCAGAATACACACAGTTGCAGCAGAGTCTTGAAGACTGATCATCTATATATATAATCAGATATCTCTTATAAAGCTATATTTACTCTCTCAGTTATGCTGAAGTATTCAGCTTAGAAATAATAAGAATGCAGAGAGAGAGCTTATCTATTCAGATTAACTTCTATTATGAATTCATAATATTTACATTGTCTTAATTACTTAGATTTTACAGATATCTGAGAACTCATCTCTCATTGATAATGAAATTGTGAAAATGTACTGCAGTGTGAGAATCATTGATAGAGAATCTAGATATATTTACATATATCTGATCAGAGATTATGCAGATAGAGAGAGAGTGATTATAGATCTGCAGAGCTGTAGAAGACACTGATAACACTAAGAGCTTTATAAGAACTATCAGCTAGAATCTGTAAGAAATTATTTATAAGAAGACTTACAGCAAAGAAAAGAACTGCACTACTTAAAGTCAGAGACTGATTTAAAAGAGATAGAGAATTGACTGCTGATCTGAAAATCAGATGCAGTGACAGAGTTAAGAGAGATAAAGATATAATTATAAACAGCAGTGTCTCTGCTTTATCAGCTGATAAAAAGTGATTAAAGAAGTTGCAGAAACACTTACAAGAAGCTCAGTAGTAATCAGATATTATTTATAAAGAGATTAAAATTGAAAAAATTTTTATTCTTAAGAAGTTCTTGAATTAATATATGAATATTATTAGAAACACTCTCTCTCTATTATCTGAATAAAAATACTTCACAGATGAATGAGAATACTTACAGTTTATAAAAATAAGAGTTATTATAGAAAAAGAGAAAAGAAGATAAGATTTTACAGATAGATCTGAGATATTTATACTACTCTAGAGAGATTTACTTACACTATAAGTGATTCTATAAAACAGTCAGATTACTCTAGTAAATAAGAGTAATTATAAATTACAGATCTGAATCTTTCTATATAACTATAAAGAGTAATTACAGATTGTAGATATCTTGATTCTACAATTCTATAGAGTTAGTGAAAGAATGAAAAATTTCTTATAATTCTACAGTGTCAAAGAGCAATGATTTATAAGAATAAATAAAAGATTAACTTATAAATATTTCTCTTTGATAAGGATAATCTTATAGAGAGTAATTCATCTGTGAGATAGATCTGTGTAATAATTATATAAGAATCTTATGAAAATGATTGAGAGTCAACTGAAACTCTTCTATATAAAAGATATGAGATGAATCTGTGTGATAGTCAGAGAAGAATCTGTAAATTATAAAGAATCTCATAGAATAAGAAACTGAGTGACAGACTCTTTTTTCTTCATAGTAATAAGAGATTTTTCCTTACTGAGATTTTTTATAGATATGAAGAGTTTTTAGTGAGTATCACTGCAGTGCTGAGCTGACTATGAAGTCACTCAGTGAAAGACTTTACAGATAAAGTCTTAGAGAGAAAGAGATATGTAAGAAATTCTGCTTCTTACAGATTCTTTATCTCTATTTCTATCTCTCATATAATCAATAGAACTAACAGCCCTTGGCTACACATAACTATATAGACTGGAGTTCACAAATACTATTCATAACTCAGCTTGAATACTATTATATATTTAATCTCTACATTTTATCTTTCTACTGTGAACACTTCTAGTAGTTAACAGTACATATCATGCCAAGCTGCAAACACCTGAATAATCGCCTGCAAGCACTTATTCTTACAGGGATTCATGTCAAGAAATGTATGAGACCAGACCAAATGAGACCAAATGTGAAATTCATGATCCCGGCGGCCAGTCTAGTAATAGCTGGTCTGAGAGAGAATGTTGAGAGTCTCACAGTTGATCAGCCCTTCTACCAGCAGTGTGCTGGTGATGATTGAGCTCTTTTGTCCCAGTAGCCTACAGATTATGAGACTGTTAAGTGTGAGCCCCACTGTGATCAACATGCATGGATTCAATCCCAGAATGAACTTAAAAATTCCTAACAAATACCCTGGACATTTTAACAGTGTCAAGAGACATCCCAGGAGTGTGCCCTAGAAGTCCCTTTAAGTCCTAGGACTGAGTGGTCCAGTCCATTATTAAAAAGGAGCCATTGTGGGGAGGCCACTGAAGGGAGCCACTGAGAGGAAGTACTGTACTCTGTGATAGCTGGTCCGAGGGGGGGTGTTGGGGGTCCCGCGGTTGGTCGGCCCTTCTACCAGCAGTGCGCTGGTGGTGATTGAGCTCTTTTGCCCCAGTAGCCTACAAAAAGAGACTTTGAATATTTCCGATGACAAAGATTGCAAAATACGAAAAAAGAATGGCTGATGAGGCACAATCTGCGATTCTAGATAGCCGGGTTTAACCTATGCGCCGTGCCACGCAGACGGATAGCAATAATATGGTCGAAATTGCCTGCCTACGTTTGGATTCATGATTTCCAATTAATCCGAACCGATAACTACGCGGGCACGGAGGATAGTGCGAATGGAGATATCATTTACATTGCGGGCGTACTTAACAACGCCATAACGCCATTCAATGGATTTCCTAGTTAAATACGGAGTAGTTGACTAGGTAGAAAGGGACTAGTATTGCGGGAGGAAACTTGGTAGTGATAGATTTATTACTTTTGACCAGAGAGGGTTCGGGCTTGGGCAACGTGGAGTACACTATCTCGTGCATTTGAATATCTATGATGTCTATGAGAAGCAAGGAGAATGAATGGATTCAACCCTCGAGCTGGGCTAGAATTGAATGTTTTCGGAGCGCTGGCGGCCGTTGAATGGAGTTACTGGGCTTAAACGCTGAAATGCTGATGCCTAGATAATCGAATGGACGATATTTGTACATGTACATAATAAGAAAGCTTGCTGGTTTACTGAGGCTTAGAGATATGTGATACGCGTTCCTTGAGCCAAGCGATATCGGTTTGATCCTTCTGATGAACACTTTCCGATCCCAAGGCAGCAAACATTTTACATTGGGAATGTTCATGGAATTGGTCAGGAGCGCGTCTGTCATTTGTCTCTGAGTGTATCTAGACAAGAAAAGCATCAAAAGGGTCACTGATAACACTAATGCAACTTGGTAGGGTAAAATGGCCTATTCGTGGCGTTGATGTAAAAACAATCTATACATTGCGAGTTGTAGCGAGATGGTGTAAATAGTTATTTAATAAAACAAGAGCTTAAAGCTTAAAAGTCCGAAAATGAAACCAAACATGAAAACGCACCACCAGAGCAGAGCAATTCCACTTCCAATGCTACCACCATCGTCTTAAATAATATGAACCATGAGGCTAGCAGCCTCCTCCTCCTCCCCTCCTCATTGGCAGTGGATATGTGGTGCATTGCTTAACCATCCATTGCGCAGCTTGTCTGTCCTTTTCGTGCTTTGGAAGCTACTGTTGCTCCTGGCAATTGTCGCCAGCCCAGGACCTGGATACGACTCATCTACTACTCTTCTGCCGTCCATTGCATCTCAGAATGCCTCAGACCTGATCTTGTTAAGCGTAAGAGCAGGAGCTGGCAGCGGGTGGTGGCCATCATCATTGCTGAAGTTCGTGAGATGGGACGCGATTTATTTCGTGAGCATTGCCCAACGCGATTATCTGTTTGAGCAGGAATGGGCGTTTGGATACGGCTACACAAGATTGCTCTCAGGTTTATCTTCTGGTGAGCGTTCTCTTTACGTGATGTTTATTTTATAAAAGTTTTACTTTTCATTTCACGTCACTTTTCTCGGTGTTTTGTGACAGTCAACTAATTGGATTTATAGCCTTCTGGGGAGATCGTGGTTCGCATCCTGATAGTCTCCACATAGCGCTGACTGGTATTGGACTCTCGCATGTCTGTCATTACTTGTCCGTACTCTCACTCTACGGACTATCGAGAAACGTCTTTGGTAGTGGAGATGGGGGTCGTGCTGTGCCTCTCCTAGCCGCAGTGCTCCATACCATCTCATCTGCCGGTGCTTTTCTCTCAGCGCCTTATGGAGAGCCTGTGTTCTCCTTGCTCAATTTTACAGGTTTTTACGCGTATGTTTCTGCGCTACACGATGATTGTCGTGGATACATGCTCGCAAGAGATGTAAAATTTCTTGTGGCAGGAGGGTTGTTTGCTGCCGTCACTACGATCCGTAGCAATGGCATTTTGAGCGGGATGCTATTTGCGTACGATGCGGTGTTGGGATTGGCAAACATTGCTTCAAGTGGAATATCGATATCCCAGATTCACAGGATGTTCTTTGTTATACTTGGTGGAAGCTTGATTCTGCTAGGGGTTGTTGGGCCTCAGTACCGTGCCTTTACAACATACTGCCAAAATGTGGACGTGCGAAGGAGTTGGTGTGATAATACCATCCCAAGCATTTACACGTTTGTCCAGAACCACTACTGGTATGTCTTGGAAGTTATGGAAACAATACAGCTGTGAAATCTGATACTGACTCTACTTGTTTTTGTAGGGGCAGCGGGGGGTTCCTGAGTTACTGGAAAATATCTAACCTGCCTCTTTTCTGTCTCGCAGCTCCCATGCTCGTTCTAACGGGTATTTCGTCTTGGTGGGCGTTCCAGTCACCTGTCGATTTCGACGTGCGATACAAAGAGCCAGGGAAACGTAGCGAAGAGGCTTCACGAGCGGAGCATCGGCGTACATGCCTTTCCAGACTCGCAATTCCCCAGGGGGTGCTCGCAGCCCTCGTTCTGACGAACTCTCACGTCCAGATTATCAACCGTATATCTTCCGGATACCCGTTGTGGTACTGGTATATATGCTATTGTGCCCTGGAATACGGGCATACCTTCCATCAACTTTTCAACCCCCGTTTTCTAGTTCAGGGAATGGTTTTGTATAGTCTTATTCAAGGGGGCTTATTCGCGTCATTTCTTCCGCCGGCATGACATTTGGGATTAGCCCTTCACATCTTTGTCAAAGAGGTACCTAGTTGGTTGGTGGAGGTTGGGAAAAGAGTCGCGTGCTTTGGGGAGGGTGGTCTCCAGCTTTTTGTGTGTTGCGTACGTAGGTTCTGCCTAGCTACGGCGAGGGATATTATTAATCAGGTCAACCATGTCATCTTTCACTATTTTGAAAATGAGCTTCTTGTAAAATCCGGATTGCTCGGCCTTCTTCAAACTTCTTCGCGAAATCCCAGAGCAAATAATTGCAGACTGTTGTTATCTCTGTGCTGTGTGCTTCACCAAACTGTCCGGTCCAACAACGCGGCTGCCCTACCCCGATTAGGTAATCAGTGCTGCCGCAAATAGCAACGCAACATCTCAAACCCAGCTTGGGAATTCCCATCCAGCTCAGGACAATCACAGCTCCCAAGTCGAGTGAGCTTGGGATAGGTCACTGACAAATTGACCAGTCCTGGACCTCACGTTTCCTTTTCACTTTAGTTCAATAAATGATCATTGACCCAGAATCATCGTAAATCCGCGTGCGGCCCGGATTGTTGCTGTTCGGCCATTCCAGAGCAAACTCCCAAACACTCTTTAGGGCCGGAGAAGGGTTGGGGCATCTGAAATTCCCATAGTTACGATATTTGTTATATTTGGTCGGTTTCTGCCCTTCTGAATCTACTGTTTATCTTTGCTTCGTGTTTATTCTAACTTCTTAAATGCCGCACTTAGGTATCTATTGCACCAGAGACTCTTGGTTTCTTAAACCCTTCGACGTCATACCATCCTTCTTCGCCCCTTGCGATTTCGCCCTTTTTCAACGCCAACATGGATTCCAGAGAACGCCTTTCAGATCATTTAGCTGCAGATTTCACCTATAGTGGAAACGAGACATCCCGGGCAACGTCCCCAGGAGGGGAACCTGTTCGAATCAACGGAGTGGTACTTGAGGATCAGGTCAAAGAGGCACGAAATAGACCGAGGACGTATCCGTATTTTAAATATCTACCCTATCAAGTTGAGGATGAGAGTGAGAGACAGTGCAACTTGGAGGAAATCCTCAAGCACCTCTACATCGCAGTTGAATCGGGAGATTTCAATCCCGGGGCTGTACACTGGACACGTGAACTGAAAGGATGGCTTTCTTTGAAGTTTGACCCGACAAGGGAGCAGCGGGTTAAATTGGTAAAATTTTATTACGAACTTTCTCTAGCGCCAGGAATCGACCCAAACGTGGCAGAGAGATTCGCTACCATGTTTATGCTTTTAACCAAGTAAGGAATATCTCTGTTTATGGATACTGCAATACCTTATATGACTAACAAGATACAGGAGAAAGCATTACCTTCGACCAGGCAAGGATCTAATACTTGACTGGAAACCCCTGTACAGAGAAATCAAGGTGTTCGTTCTTCCTTCGCAATCTGGCTTGGTCCACTCCACAAACTTAAAGAGGAATATCAAGACCTTGACGAAACTCTGTGCCTTTGCTCAGCCCTATTTCGACCCCTTGGAGTTGCGGGCGATACTGGAGGAATTTCTCCCTCACTTCAGCGCTTCATTTACTGAAGGGGCATTCGTCGTTGCTGGCTTGATAAACTTGTTCCTGCCAACAGCTCCTGCCCCGGAAGATCGTGAAGATCTTCTCCCGCAAGAGTACCTCCCAACTTACCTCCATCTTTGGTCCTTAATGAACCGATCTAGGACATTTGATGTAACTTTCATAGATCTCATATCGAGGATAGCACGCGATGCACTCCCCGCTAGCCATATTCCGTTCTCTGAGTTCGGAATCTTCACCTCTGAGCAAACATCACTCGTGTTTACCGCAATTTTAAGACTACTGGAAATTCCCGTTGGACAAGCAACCTCAACTTACAGCAGTGCCGTTGACGCTTCATCAGGTCTGGGTATGATGCTTGAACGGGACCATCGAAAACACCCATTTACCCATAATATCGCTCGATGGATAGTGATGTCACTATCGCCTGCATG